TGTCCATGAGGAGGAGGGCAGTGTGGCCCATGATGGGGAGGAGGAGGAGGGCTATTTTGCTCATCATAGGGAGGAGGAGTAAAAGGGCGAAAATCAGATTTCTCTTGAATAAGAGGAGGACTGTGTTGTTTGTCATAGAGAGGAGGAGTGGAAGAGGGGTGCTCTGGTTCCTCTTGGGAAGGAGCCAGACCGTGGTGTGGAGGGGGAGGGTGGTGATGTCTACCGTGGCAGGGAGGAGGAGCTTCTTCGTGGCTGCCTTGATGATCTTTGTTGAAACCATGGTTATGCTCAGAGTCTTCAGGTTTGAACTGAAAGGTCGGTGGACCTCTATGCCTGTGACGATGTCTGTGATGATGGGGATGCTTGTGTGGCCAACCTGGAGCTGGAGATCTGCATCTTTGTCCATAATAACGTTGCTGTTTATAAAAAAACCAAAACACCAGAGCAAGACATATTAAGTTATATGTTAATAGAACAAACAGAAGAAAATGGTGACAGAGAAAGGTGGGAGTTAATGGGTTTGCATTTATGGCTCCAGTGGTTTGTAAAGGGAAAAAAAACAACAACAACAACTATTCTTTTCAAGATAGAAGGGAAGGAGTAGGTGATAAAATGTCAAATTACCAAAAAGCATCTGAAAGTACTGCACTGTGATAAAATGAAATGATGTAACCAACTGAGCACGATTTGTAATGGATCAAAGCGAAATGAAAACCACCCTGGAATCATTGTTGTAATATGAAATGGAATTCCAAATATGATACAGATCATCTTCCCTCTCCTTGCTTTCTAAAATTATCTTTGAACTTGTTTGCCAATCTCTACTCACTTTAACTGAGCAGTGTGATTAAGCAGAGTGGAGACACCTTTGGAGGAGGCAGTGGGGATAGCACAATTCCAATTAATCCTCTGACTATCTTAGTAGTCAAAAGCCAGTCTGTTCTCACATACAGGATCACAGCCAGGGAGTACTAAATAACCTTTCTGCTGTGTTTCTTCTGTGAGAGTGGACTGAAACTGCAGTAACCTGCATTAGGACATAGCCAGAGACATTGCAATAATTGAGTACCTACCCAGGGATGATAGAGTTCACAGTTTATTTCTATTCCATTGGGTTCCTCTGGATCACTAACAGTTCTTGCCTTGCAGAATCCTGTGTGCTAAACAAAACAAAACAAAACCCAAAAACTCAACAATGCACATCTGGGTTCTTGTGATGGAGATAATAGAAGCCACTGAAAAGTCAGCATTTAAAAGTTAGGCCATCTCTTTGGATACCTAACTGCGTTTATATAATTCGAACCTGAGCTTTCTGGCCAATCATTCTTGCCCTCTAAATAATGAATAAAATATATTTCATTTTGAGTATTCTTGACTATGAAAACCATTTCTTCATACACATCTAGAGAGCTATTGCTCTCCATCTTAATTCACTTTTGGTGTCTGTAAAAGTTGGTAATCTACCAATGCCTATATTGACTGATTTTTACACGTATTTTTCTGTCTTTGCTTGCCAAATGTCTGTTCAGTTTAGGCTATTCTGAAATTTTGCTTGAAGTCCTCTGAACTTGTTGTGAGACTGCTTTTGAGATGAATCTCAAATCAGAGATTTTTTCCATTTATATTTTTGAGAAGTAATTTGTAGTAATCTTTAACATTACTTCCCTTAGTGTCCTGTTTGCAGGGACTTTGGTCTGCTGTCTAGTACTGTGATAGCTCTCTGTAGATATACCTGAATTATTCAACCCTCTTTTCCCCTGTAGCAGAGAGCAAAAAATAACCCCTGACTCACTGATATGACACAGGATATGTATTTCACTGAAAATCCATAATTCATGTTATTGTAATTGTTTTTATGAAAATAGCATGGAAAATTTACTAGGGAATGGCCACAATTTGAATGAGAAAGCCAGATCCAAACAGAAGAATTGAGCTCTAGATCTGAAGCATGCCAGACTTCTGTTATATATATGTTTGATAGTTTAGACTGGCTCCTTGTAGAGGAAACATAGTAGGATCTGAACTTTGACATGCTGGGTTCTGCATTTTGGGTTTGGGTGCATGCTCCTAAGAAACACTTGGAATCACTGTGGAAAGATCATCCTGGTGCCATCACTTCTTATTCCTAGGCTCTACTTACAGCGTGCCAGTCATCCAGAAATTCACATTCCAGTGGCTCATCTGCTTGTTGCTGTTCTCCTCTGGAACATTTGGTCTCTTTTATAGAGAATCCTAAAATGTGAGCTTCACGGGAGGCAGTCTGGAAAAGACAGGTCAACTAAGAGGTGCCGACGGGGTGTATTTAAATAAACAAAAAGGAAACAACAACAAAAAAGCTGTAATTTTAAAAGCAGCCGTGCTTCATGCTGTTATCAACATCTCATATCATTCATACACTATCTGTGCTCTTCAGAAGTTTGCACATGGCTCTGTATTCAGCAGGAAAAGTGAATTAGATAATTTCTGCCTTTGTTCCTCTCTCCTTTATGAGTTTCATAAATAGTTGCTTTAATTTTTGACTGTAATAGTTTATTTCAGGTCTGTTGTAGGTGTCTGTAGCACATGTGCCCATAAGTTTCACTGGTTTAACCGAGCTTTTTGAAGCAGTTGCACACACTCTGCAGGATGTGTTCTAACAAAACTTGATAGTTTCTAAGTTTTATGCAGTCTGTTGAAATCCAGTGGTGAATTCTGAATTCTCACTGTAGCTGAACATGGAGAAGTGTGAAGATAAAGAAAAAAAAAAGTTTTAGGGAGAAATCCTTGAATCCAGGTAATTTGAAATCAGCTGGGGGCTGACTGGGCAGAAGTCCTACATGGAACTACAATATAAAGCATGCTAAATTTCTGAGCAGTATTGCAAGCTACGGAGAGGTGGGGTTGCCATGCTGTAATTTAGATGGATTTCAGGAGCAAGATGTGTTATGGAAGAGGTCTTTGCAGAGGTGTCCTGAACTGGAACATGTATTGGCAGAATGATCCTGTGCTTTTTAAGTAAAAATCTCCAGATCTAACAACAAGAAATTGTGGTGATGCGAGAATTATGCTTCTAGTCACCTAAAGGATAATGTTGTGTTCATGTTGACATCACTTAGAGATGGAGAAATTATTTAGCAAAGACAGTAGCTCCTCAAGAGGTACAGTGAATTTACAATACAAATTTACCTCCTGTTCTTCAGAGCTCTCAGAGTGCTGCTTTGTTCTACAGCACCCAAAATGATGCTGAGTCTGCTCACAGACTCACGTGCTAAATATTCTAAGAGTAAAAAGTTATCTGGCTTAATTTGACAGGATGTATGACTGTGATAAGGCACAGCTGTACATCTCGACAAACTATGGCTGGTGGGAAATAAACTCTTATATTGTATAATACGGTGGGAAAATAGGCATACAAAATAAAAATATCCACACAAAGAAGGCTGACATTCTGAATGCCATAGCGTTAAGCAGATAAGAAATCCTTTTGCTTTCATGTGCCTAGAATTGATAAGGCTTTGCAGAAGTAGAACCTTCAATTTTAAGCAGGTGATTTATATTGAGAGGTTACACATAGTATTTCTGATCCTAGAAGGATTTGATTTCAGGGCCCGTGGTTTTGGATCTGCTCCCAGAATGCTGTCATTTCTTGTTAGTAGTTCTAGGACCAAATGCCACTTACCGCCTTTAGAATCTTCTCAACTTTGTTGACTTTGAAGTAGTTTGTGTGGTTACCCTCACGGTTGAATTTTTCCAGGAGCTTTGCAGCAAGATCTTTATGTTCCTCAGTGACTTCTAAGACTTCAACTTTTACAGGACAATCTTTGCACTCTATTAAATCGGGAGGAACTGTGAAAACAGAGCGGTTACTAATATTGCAATGGATATTAATACTCTTCAGAGTAATATCTGTGTATGCAACTTTAATGTGAACTCATATGAAGAAGCTGAAATACCAAATGCTTCCTTGAAGTGAAATGTCTCTCTGCAAATACAGGTCTGTACTGTCATGTGAAAATGAATATTCTTAAAAATATTCTAGCTTAACTTTGGAATCTAACCGACTCCAATGGGCATTCTTTCAGAGTTTGGGTTTTTTTTCTGATACTCATTATCTTGCTTTGGTGGACTGAAGAAGTGATATTTGATATCAATAAAGCCTATCTTAGAGGAGTAGGGTACTCTTAATTTTGTTAGTCATTCTTAACGTACCATTTGAATTATCAAAAGTAGGAATGGTAAGCAGATGAGTCAATCTGTCATGGTTACCATCCAATAGCAGTGCACAGACTTGTACTTCATACTAGGACTGGTTTGAGGTTTGAGGTATGTGTTAGCTTACAAGAGTGGCTGTTTTACCTGGACTTAATGTACAATTATATCCATATAATTTAGGTTTCTTCAGCATCGGGCTTGTATATGTGATAATCTTACATTGCCCAAAGTCCTGGAGGAAAAAAAGAGAATATATGACTATCAGGTTATTTTCACTGGATTTAATGAGATGTAGTTGATCATAGACATTGTGCCTCCTTTTAATGTTCAGTATTTGGAAGGATAACAGATGTGGTCATTAACAGAAAGTTTGTTCTAGTACCACTCAAAATCTGTGTTCAGATAAGATGGGATCTCCTTCTACAAAAGCCTTTGTTTAATTTTCAGTTTGTAGACTGAGGAGGAAATGGAAAACTAACACAGTGTTCTCAGTCATTGTAGTGCTTATTTACAGAGAGATACTGCTAACTAGCAGGGGAGGATAGGATGCAAGAGATACTGAGAGGTTGTATCAGTCTTTATCAAAGTGTGGATGGACCTTTTCTCACATTCATTTTATCCATCTTAACCTTTTCTTTCTCTCTGCCCATGGCCTCCCTGCTTTTTCCTGTGTGGCAGAGAATCACTGCTCTCCTATTTCAATAAAGTTTTGCGCAGGTATTCTCATTCCACACTGCATCATTGTACTGCAACAAATAAGGACAAATACTGCAACATATCGTATGTGTAGTGACGCTAACAGTGTTTTACACTGTCATACCACAAACTCAGCCATGCTCTAAAACTGACAGAATATAACACTGGCCTTTCTGGCTGATATACTAGGAACGTGAGTTAAAATAAATCATTTCTAGTGCCCTTTAGTTGGTAGCAATTTATTCACAAAACATCAGTTCTGTTAAAAGCAGTGGAAAAGTGGAAAATGTCTTTTGAGAGAACTAGCTTAATGAAGCTGTGCTTATTTGATAACCCTTTCCTAAACCTTTAGCTGATGCTTAGCAACTCTAGAAACCAATCAATGTTATTTTTATAGCGAGCCATATTAAAACCTAGCCTTTGCTTAGAGTGCACAGGAATTCCTAGGCAATCAAATTATGTGTTTATTGACATATGATTCTGCCTGGATGCTATCACTTACCATGGAATAGAGATCACCATATTCACAAGTCTCCCAGGGTCTTCCAGATAACACGGAGCATTCAGTTTCCAGCACATCCAAAGTTAAGTAAAGGACTGATGAATTTTCCTGGAAGAGAAGTATGGGTTAAAAAAAAAAAACAACATTGTTTTTGAGAAACTTGGTCTGAAAGAATTTTTTTTTAGAAGTAGATACGTTTAATCTTTCTTGTAGCTTCACCAGTTCCCTAGTAAGGCTCTTCTGGGCTGACAAGCATAGTATCATGGAAGGGTTTAGGCTGGAAGGGAGCTTTCAACGTCATCTTGTGCAGGCGGTTGGTCAAGGCAAAGCTAAGTTTTAAGTTAGATGAAAATTAGATCAGCCTTGTCCAGCTGAGTTGTATATGCAACCAAGACAGATACTCTGCAACTTCTTTGAGCAGCTCCAGCACTTAGTCACTTGCTGTAACATTTGTGGCCTTACACCTAACAGAATTTCCTTTCCTGCAGCATATGGCTGTTGCCTCTCAGCTTCTGTTGAGAACCTGTGAGAAGAGTCTGTTGTTAACCCAGCATTTGTCACATAAAGAAAATGGTAATGTTGAAAAGTTGTCATTCCCTCCTGATTTTCACATTAAACACCCTGGTCTATTAGCAAACCTGCTGACAGCTTTTCCAAATTCATCCGTTTCAAATGACCTTAGTGACCAGATGCTGTTTCAGAACTTTGCTTCCTACCCTGTTTATTTGAGGGGTGATGCAATAAAACTGTAATCCCAATAAATTTAAAAGCCTTAACTCTGAAATTCTTCTAGTATGTTCTGTTTCCAGAGCAAATGGGATGAGGAATTATAATTTGAATATGACTGCCATTGTAATGGAAAGTGGTGTTAAGAATTATTATGCTCACAGAAACAGTATTTTATTTTTCTGTAGGGTAATGAATCTCAATTCACATTTGGAATGCATTACTTAAACTTCGTGCAACCCCTGTATGGACATTAGGAATGAAAACATTTCGTTTTATCATTTGGATAAATTGATGCAAAGCCCTTCGCTGTGACTGAATGCGTCTTCAGGTTTTAGGAAACTTCATCCATTCAGATTCCTTTGTCAGAGCGTTTCCAAACAGGCAAGACCTCAGGAAAGAATTACCACAGTCTACTGTAGTGTTTTATTAGTGAGTGCGCCCAGTGTGGTGTTGCACACTAGTTTTGCAGTGTCTGTGTCTCAGCATTGTCACTCTTTTAAAACAACAGGCTAGGTGATCTGGACAAAGACATGCATTATTCTGTGTCAGAATCAGGAAAAGAATATAGCCATCCTGGCACCCATTCTGCCCATTATGCACACGATTATTCTCCGCTTGGAGATAGTTAGCATTTTTATTGTACTTTATAATTTTTTTTATAAATTCAAGCTGCTAGTCGTCATATTAGTAAAATGCAGACAGAGAAGGGAACAAATACAGTGACAAAGACTATTTTTTCTCATTTGTGTTCATGGAATTGCACTGAATGGGATGGTAAGATGGTCTTTTGTAAAATGTACCATTCACTAGGAGTGAAGCAATTCAATGCATTTACTGTGTCATCAACACTTGTGAAATGCTAAGGAAGGCAATTTATCCCTGGCAAATATTTATTTTCTTCAGTAGGATGCATTTAGATTCTATAAATCCTAAAGCAGAGTTTGGGTTTAATTAGGTGCCTGCATCCTAACACGCGGAAGGAAATTGCTCTGTTCAGCAGCCCTGTACAAGCCCAGAACTGTTATGGTGAGGTACATGAAGTATCTTATGCTTCTACAACTCCCATGTAAACTTAGCAGAGATACAACTGCTAAGAATTTGTCAGGTTAAGTTTCTTCAGGGGATTGATGTCATAGTTTTGATGCACACTATTGCATGGAAAAATAGATTATCCACAGAATAACATTCCGGTTTTTTGTTTGTTAGTTTTTCAGTGTTGCCTTGTCAGGGCTGCCACCATTACGTTTTGCTCAGCATGGAAGAAACCACTCCCACTAGCTTTTGTTCTAAGAAGGCACAGAACCCTCGTGGGATTAATGTTTTAGCAGTAGGTTAGATCAGTTCTTATAGACTCTGCATGGCTGTTGATCCTGTGAAGTGCAAAGACAGCAAAATTTATTTACAGCAATTTACTAATGATGAATTTATTAAAATTTACAAAGCAAAGCAGGAACATTCTTCAAGGGCAGGAGACTTGAGGGCTTAAGTCTCTATGCTGAAGACTGCTTGCTTCCTAGATGAGCTTTTCAATCACTTGGCTATTACATCAAAATCCAATAATATCACTCCCTGCATCCTTTTCTTTGAAAAACAAGATGTTCTCTTGATATTCTGGAAGCCTACCTGGAGATCTGTAGTAATCTGGACTTTGGGTTTCTTTTTGAGTTTTTTCTTGTCTTAAGGAAGGGGCAGTTTTAAGCATCTCCATCAAAAAACAGTTTGCTTTTTTTTCAGTTGCAATACTGAGATGCGTAATACATCTCCTAAGCAATGCACATGTGCAGATTTTCATTTACTAAGCGAGCAGCTGAAAGGTAGCCAAGTTCATAGGTAATACTGAGTGTCCTTGGTCTCTGTCATCTAGAAGTTAAAGTAAATGAATTTTGTATTCTGTTGGCTACAGCTGTTAATTTGCTTTGGCCTCTAGGAAGGCATTCATTGAGAAAGGCTCGTGAATATAGTCTCTAGGAAAAAGAGAGAGAAATATGGAGAAACCTATGAAATGGGAAATGGTCCTCCTATGTACCTATGAAACAGCTCAACGTCGAGCCCTTTCCCTTTTTTGCAGGCTGGTATTTTCATCTCTAGCTTCCTCAACCTTTCCTCTTTCTCTCCAGTTACACAGAGATTTGTGATTAAGATAATAATGAAATACCTATCTTGAACTATACCTTGATCTAATTAATGCTAGACTTTAGCATATTAAAGAAACCCTCTGAGTATAAATTATGAATGTTATTTGAGACCTGACAACAGCCGAGGCAGATTAATTTCTAGTACTTCACAAAGCTGTTCAGAGCATCTCTCATGCTACCATCCAGTCGGCCAAGAAAATAGAAGGCATTCAGCATCCCTGGAACATACAGTCAATCATGCACAAGTGAATGCTGTGATGACGTAAATCAGATCTGATTCATTAAATCTTATCAGCATTGCTCTGTTAAAAACAATCATCAGCGGCTTTCAATGAACTGGCTCATTATTTTATCATCATGGTCTTGTATAGATCAGCTTTTAAATCAACACTTACCGTGTGTAGTCTGTGTGCATCAGCAACACGGAACAGGCCGAACACGTAGCCGTCCTGGCGATGTCTGTTCACCAGATCCAGCGCCATTCCTGCATCTGTCTGAATGGCCTCACAGTCCGTAGGTGCAGCGACCTGGCTGGTTTTGGTTTGGGCATTGCAACAATGCAGAAGTGCTAGAAAAAGAGCTGAAGTTACACGCAGCATTTTGTCTGTGGTGTTAAGTCACTTCTGCTCATGCTCTGAGAAAGCCAGTATTCTGCTTTTGAATCAAAGCGGCCCACAGAAGCTTTAAATGAATGCTAAAAAGTCACGGTTTTATATAAATTTAGGTGTTGTGTCACAGGACCATTACCTTGGCCCTGGATTAATGTTTGCAAACTGGAAGTAAATGATTACACTGTGATTTGAACAGATTTTGAAGAAAGTGAGCCCTTAAATAGTCTTTGGACCACCATCAAAGGGGCTGTGTTTGTGGTTCTTTAAGCAGGCATTGTGCAATAGTGTTTTACTATGAAAAATATTTAGCCTCCTACACTATGCTGGTGAGCCTGGCATTAAGAAGTGTGAGTTTGTTTGCAGGTATTATGCAATCTATGCAATCTTGGTTTCCTGTTTGCAATAAAAATTGTTGAAATGAAAACATAAGGAACCTTTGTGGTTGTATTATGGCTTCGTCTGTGTGATTACAGCTCCTTAATGATGAGAGCAAGAATGAGCAAGAATGTCACTCAGATCAGGAGAAGAGGTGTAGCTCATGGTACCCTTGCAAGCTGGTGGTCCGTGGCTTCTGTGCAAGTACCTGCCACTCTTGCAGATGGGAGAATTCAGAGCAGACTTCTATCAGCTTCACCTGTTTTCAGAATGGCACACAGAATAGGATTGATTGGCTTAATACCAGCGTAATCAAGTCGTGGCATGGAAGGACATAAACCTACCTTCGTGCTCTCAGTCTGGGTAGTTGTGTGCTCTTTGTCTGCAGTAGTTTCAAAAGACTTTGAAAAAAAACAGCCCTGATAATATTTTAGTGTTTATTAAAATAATGCAGTGCATACTAATGTTCATAGCTTTCACAGCTGCCAATGTTTGCATGTTTGACTTTGAGGGCTTTATTGTATTTATTTTTGTAAGAAGCATTAAGAAATATTATGGGTAATCACTCTTAACCCTCATTAAATTAATCTTTATTGAATAAAAACCCGACTTTTAGCTTGTCTGTCATCTGAGAAATCACATTCAAAAATGCCCAGAGCCAAAGCAGTGGCATATGAGCCCATTGTGTCCATTTCAGTGTGAGAGTGAGGAACACTTGGCCATAGTCTGAATTGATTTAAAATGGAAAAAAGTAGTATACCTGTTTGTAAAGTAGTGTACATGTTGCCACGGAGAGATGTGGAGGTGAACACTATCAGTGAGGTCAGAAATGGTTTAAAAAGTTTGCGGACAACAGGTCTTAAAGTGGATGCTAGGACTGAGCAGAGTTGCACTCTTTAATATCCCCAGTACAATAATCCTGGACACTAGAAAAGCACAAGGGATGGATTGCAAAAAGGAAGCAGGCCCACATGCTTCTCCTAACCACAATTGTTTTGCCACAGTGAGACATGAATACTGGGCTGGAAGAAACACTCTGGTGATGCAGTCTCACATTTCTTTTGTTGAAGTTTTTTATGGTGTTTCATTATAATAATTCCAAATTTCTTCTGGAAAAAAAAAAAAAAAAAAAGGTAAAATAAATGCTGTGTAAATAATCAAAGGCATCTGAAACACTTCTCCCCAGTTAGAAATAATATTCGCATCAGTGCTGCGTTTCATATCCCAGCCCCATTCATTACTTACAGCACTGTTTAATTTTTCAAATGGGCAGTCGTACTGAAGAAAGCCATCAAATTAGGTAATGTATAACATAATTCCCTTAGTCATCCATTGTTTGCAGATTGTTTGTTCGTTATTTTTCTGTTTGTTCTCTGCTGTTCGTGGTGACACTGATCATTTTCTTGACAGAGGCTTATGCATTTTTTATGGGTGAAACAGAAACACTGTGAATAAAGAGTATAAAATGTACAGTTCCTGCAAAATTAACTGCAGAAGTAAAAGTAAGGTTCTGTTCCCACTATAGAGTTTTGTCCTCAATTTTTGAGGGAAATGACAAGTTGGTTTAATTATATAAGGTTATACTATATAAGCACAGTGTAATATAATATTAAATAACATTCGTATAGGTGTCATATTATTTAGGTTAATTATATAAGGTTGACCCATAAAGTAATAAGAAAACCCACTAGCTTTTAATGCTAAACAGCGTTGACATCCTCTTCTCCATTTATGCACCATGACACAGAGCATGGCTCAGTAAGGGCCCTGAGAGCATCCCTCTCCCAGCAGTTTGCCTGCCAGGGCTCAGGGCCAGCTCAGCAGCAGCACAGCTGAGGCTGCACCCCTTTCACCTCGATGAGCTTGGGGTGAGTGTGCCGCACAGCACTGCACAGCAGCCACAGCCAAGGCTGTCTCAGCCCTCTGAGGGCTTTTGCTCTCTGCAGTTGCCTTTCTTCCTTGTTCTGATGGGAAGAATTTAAGAATTAAGAGCCGAAGTACCCGCTTACATTTCTCTTTGTGATCTGTTCTTGTGTTTTTGTGAAACAGAGAACTCAAAAAACGAGTGCTTTAATAAGCAGTTTATTTGTTTAGAGATGTTGCACAAATGGGAAGACCGCTTTGTCTCTGTGGCTATTATTTTGTTGCAGGTAGTTAGGGTGACTGGGTGCTGACTAGACTTTGGCAGGCTTTCCAGTAAGCAAAGGATGTAGGATGGAATCTATCTGCTTTGCTTCTCCTGGGCATGAGTCTGATAGAGAAAGTTCTGTAGGGAAAGGGAGGATAACTGGTCCAGTGGCTGGTTTGTCTACCTGAGTCGTTTCTCCATGGGGGGCCGGTGGAGTAGACATACATTCTGTAGCCTTAGGTGGAATTGGTTTTCTATCTTCCTGCTCACTTTGACTTTCTCTTACTTTATGAAATGAGATGTCCTCAGTTGAAGGAGGGAGAATTTTGACACAGCCCATTGTTTTTCCTAGATGTAAGGAGAAAGGATTGGTTTCTGCAGGGAAAGCTTGTTGATGATTCTGACTGGATTCTTCAGATCCCTGATTAGTTTGTAGTTTTCCTTCTTCAGTGGCAGGATTCTAAAAAAAAAGGCAACAAATATCACATTTATTGAAGCTGTTACAATTTTTTTCTTATGTGAAGAAGATCACCCTTTATCTACAATCCCAATTTGCAAAGACCAGCTGCAGAACAGAACCATGAGGGTCAGACACATGGAACTTCCTCTTAAGCCAGTGCACGAATCCTGGGTAACTACACTTCTTTTTGTTGTTTATTATTATTTCTTTGTAGATCATTTTGAGCACTTCTCTGTGATAGATGCTGTACTCTCTTGCCTTTTTACCCACCTAGCAACAGTCTGCTTTATCACAAGAGAGATTTCTTCCTGATTTGGCCTTATCACTTTCTTGAAGTCCATATCTTTGTGAATTAGAAAATTTGAAAATGGTTGGGCTTTCAGGAGTTCAATTCTTTTTTTATAAAGGAGTGCTACTCTTGCAATATTAAGATTAGATTAAGAAATACCTGTGGGCTGTAGATTTCACAGGATATTGTGACGGTCTCCTTGCGTTCCATGTCACTGTTTACCACAGAGCCTTTGCAGAAACCCGTTTGCTGGAAGAAGAAAATGCAAGTATTATTTTCACAGCGCTGCTGATACTTAGCTCTTATCTTGTAAAATTGGTGATTATGAAAGGCTGAGTTGTTACAGCTTCTACATGTATTTGTAGGGATAAGCAGCTTGGGCAAACTTGTATTTTGGGATTGGCAAGCTTATAAAGGAAGGCAGCATTTTGAAAAAGGCTTTATGTTTACAAAGCAGGGTTAGGTAGCACAAAAATAAGCTGTGTTAAGGTCTGTCTCCAACAGCACACATAAGTTCTGCTGCAGCAGAGTATCCCCATGGAAGCGAGGTGCGTAATAGAGCACAGTGTTGTTTCTCAGACAGAAACAAATTCACATCATACTAATGAAAGAATCCATGACAAGATGTTGCTTCTAACAACTGTGTGTTTACTGGACTGCAGGTAGTATGACTTGGATCTCAGTTAAGACGAGACTTGAAATGGAACATCTCAGCAGCATGCTCATTTAATCTTTAGGTTTCCTTTGATATTTTTTTCCTTGGATGTTTTCCCCAACTGATTTAATTGTAGTGTGGATATGTTCTTGTGCTCTGTTTGCAATTCGTTGTCAGTATCTGCTTATATGGAAAAAGTCCTTAAAAATGTTTTGCTTTTGTAAAGCAATGGCTACCCATTTTTTCTGGACTTACTTTTGTTTGTTTTGGTTTCTTTTGCTCATAGACTTCTAGGAAATAGTTTGGAGCTTTTACTGAATTTTTTCCTGTATTTTAAAGTAGTTTGTATACATGCCAGTCAGGGCTACAACCCATAGGAAGACTTCCTTGGGTTTTGCTTCTTGTCTGCAGAGAACCAAAGGATTAGGAATCATAGTATCTGTTTGTACTTACAGCTAATTCAGGTGAAAGAGGCTTGCACTTGGAGATGTCAGCAACTGGTTCCCTTCTGGGGCAGGATGTCTCCTGAATTACAAACTCCACAAAATGCGCCGGACCAGTGACCCACTGTTAGTAACAGACCAGTGAGAACCCAGTGAGAATCAGCCTATGTGTGGCTGTCAAGGAGGAGAAAAAGTCCTGCAGACCTCAGAATTGTTGTAGAACTCCTTTTAAGTGTGGAAAGAGCAGGTAGTATTTGGATATTGCTACTGAAAGTGATTTTTACCTGTGCTACTTTATTGCCTGATTATTTTTTTACTTCTTACAGATGCACAGTCCTGTTAGCTCATGGATGAGCTGTAGTTCAAACAAATTTTATTTTTCCTGATAGATTAGCATCCATGTAGAACTATAAATCCAAAGTCTGCTCATTGTCTCACTGATCAATTCACTACTTTAATGAAGAGGATCATTTTTTCCATCTTTTTTGAAAGCACAGGTTTCCTCTGGGTTGGAAACTTGATTAAATATTGCATTGTAGCACTATTTAACAAAGAGCAAAATCCCCCCGCTCTCTATGTGTAATGAATTTTAGAGAGACTGGATATTACTCTCATAAACAGCATTTTGCCAGGAAATCACTAATTCTCTATTATTCTAATATTAGTTTTAAACCAGGATTAAAGTCATTTAGATCTGTGTAAGAAGGGATGACTGTGCTTTATTAAATATGTTCTGGTAGGAG